CTTTGATAACACTCCGGACAGTTCTTTTCCCTTTCACTATCCAAAATCTTCTTTCCGTAAAATAGTCAGTAGAGTTAATGTCCCAGCATGCTTGTTAGCAATATGTTCTTGGGCTATAAATCTTCTCACTGCCAGGTGTTTCGATGGTAGAATTATTGGAGAAATAAAATCTTTCGATTCTTCCTCATTTATCAATCTGGACTTCAATCGTAAAATTCCTTCTTCATCTTCAAATATTAGAAGACCTTTCAAATTTTTTCGTGTTTCTTCATTGGAGTAACATTCCTTTTGTATTACACGGAAAATAGTCCTTTGTGCATTTAACAATTCTTCATTTTGAAGTTCCTTACATTTTCTTAAGTCCTTGGCCTTTGGTTGAAAACGCAGTATCCAAGCCATAACCCTAATCATCTTTGAAAATCTAGAGAATCTTCTGGCTAACTGTAATGGAATTGACTCTAGCTCTGTGTTACTAGCAGAGATGACTGACTTTCGTTTCTCTATCTCTACTTCTTTTTCGTTAATATTTACAGCTGACTTTGGCCACTGCTCCTTCGGATTCTTCAACCAGGCTGGCCCTTGCCACCACTTGCGTTTCTGAAGTTGCCTAGGTCCACAACCTCTTGACAAAATGTCTGCTGGATTCTGGTCAGTTGAAATATGGAACCAATCTTCCGAAATTGTCAATTTTCTAATTTCACTTATTCTGTTTGTAACGAATACCGACCACTGTTCTCGACGAGTTATCCACACAAGAACTGTGGAAGAATCTGTCCAAAAGTAAGTCTTGATGTTGGGAAGTTTTAGAGCTTGCTTCACAGAACTAAACAGCCTAGCACCTATGGTAGCAGCCATTAGTTCAAGTCGTGGTATAGTAATAGTCTTCGTTGGAGTTATTCGTGATTTGGCTTGAAGTAATTGAACAGTCACTGAACCCATACTGGATTCACTTCTTAAGAAAATGCATGCCGCATAAGCTGTCTTGCTGGCATCGACAAAAGTATGGATACTTAAATTGGATTCCTTCATCACACCTAACCATCTTGGAATTTTTATATTTTTGAGGTATTTCAGTTGTTTTCCCCATTTTAAAAAATTCTTCTTTATTTCATCATTCACTTCACCATCCCATGATTCTTTGCTCTTCCAAGCGACCTGCAGCAAAATCTTAGGCTGAATCATAACAGGTGCAAGGAAACCTATGGGATCAAATACTCGACTAACTAGTGAAAGCATTTTCCTTTTAGTTACTTTTTCTCTTTCATCAAATTTCAAAAATTCGGTGTCTATTTCTAAGGTATCTAAATCTTTGTCCCAAACCAGTCCTAATACCGGTGATGTTTTACTTTCTGAAAATGCAGGAATGCCAGAACTTTCCCATCCTCTGAGATCAAACATTCCTTCTTTCATTACATTAGTTGCAGATTCGATGAATATTTCTAGTTCGTCATTATTTTGTACACTAGTTACGCAATTATCGACATAAAAACTATCTTGTAATTTTTTAAGAAATTCTTCAGAATATTTTTCTTTCCACGTTTCTTTGGATAAATGATGGTCAATAACCGCCATCAGCAAAAATGGACTACAAGTAATGCCAAATACCACACGGGTGTGACGAAATGTCTTCACTCTACCATCATCACCATACCAAAGAAATCGTAAAAAATCTCGATCTCTTTCATTTAGAGATATCTGTAAAAAAGCTCTTCTGATGTCTGAAATCACACCAATTTCATGTAAGCGAAATCTTGCTAGAATAGACGGAATAGTTTCAATCAAATTAATTCCAGTCTCTAAGCAATCATTTAGAGATGGCTGATTAGAAAGCTTTGCCGAAGCATCAAAAACGGGTCTAATTTTCATGGAAGATAGTGAGGACGTTTCCTTAATGACTGGACGATGTGGGAGGTAATGAACAACGGGTAAAGACAACTCCTTTTGGGGAACTTCTTCAATCACTCCTTCCTGCAGCCATTCATTAAAGACTTCATGATACCTTTCACGATATCCGATTTTTTCCAACTTCTTCGTAGTAGATTCGAGTCTTTTCAAAGATAGGTCATAATTGTCAGGTAAGACTGCATGCTCAACCTTCCAAGGCATATCAACCTCGTATCTACCATTTTCTAATTGACGAACTGTTTCTTGGAAATGAACCATAATAGCTCTTCTTGACTCTTCTTTAGTTTTTTTGTTCAACAGGATCTCGGATACCCAATAATTCTAAGTCCCACAACGATGAAATAGGTAGGTCTTCTTGAGATAACATAGAAACTATAGTCATATTTACATTGTGCTGATGTTCGGATTGAGGTACTTTACCCATCAAAGTCCAACCCAATTTTGTTTCTATAGCCACTAAACCTGTTCTTAGTTCTTCTCGTTTGCCAGTAAATAACTTCCCTGCAACGTCTGCCCCTAACAGTACTTCAATAGGGCCTGGATTCCCTTGGGTATCGGTTAAGCGTATTCCCTTATTTCCTAATTCGCGAATCCAAGAACCGTATCTTATGCTTGAAATATCATTACAAATAACATCATGGTCTACAGCATCTAATTTACACGAATATTTACCATCAAGGCTACTCAAATAAATCTTGTAACATTGATGTTTATAAATTTCAGTTTTCTTTCCACCAAATAAAGAGTGACTAAATTCTTCCTCCCATTGCAAGTCAAAACCCATTTCTTCTGCAGTAGACTTTAAAACATAACTTTTTGAGCTACCCGTATCAATCATTAATCTAACTTTACGCCTTTTATTCTTACCCTCTATGTTTCACAACTAGGGTCTGAAGGAAAACTTCATTCGTAGCACGCGAATGCAAAGAATCGATTGTTTTCTCTTTTTTCTCATCATTTTCCTGGTTATGCATTTCACTAGACTTATTACATTCAAGACTAGGACAAAAAAAATTTCAAATGCCTTTTTGAACAAATCTGACACTTAACACTTGATCGACACTGGTTACTGAGGTGACCTTTAACCAAGCATATTCTGCATAAACCTTTCTTTTTTACCGCAGACATTTTTTCATCTAACGGAATATAAAACGCCTTTTTACAATTACGCGTTTCATGATCTTTTAAACAAAACGAACAAGAAGGTATTGCTTCATGATTCATCAAATCCGACGCGGAAGGAAATATTTTGGCTAGTTGCCAAGTGCTTACGATCAGACTTAGAAAAAATATCCGCTCTGCTTAATTTTATTTTTTCTTCTGACTGAACTTCGCTTTTCAGAAATTCAATTATTGCATCAAGACTCGAAATGTTTCGTTCAGATTCAGTAATTTTTCGTTGTCTTTCAAACGATCGCAATACGTGAATAGGAATAGCACTTTCCACAAGAGGATATAAAATTGTTCCACACTGATCAGTTCGTTACACCAAGACTGCTCAGGGCTCTAAGTTGTGTTGAAAGTTTGTTATACAAACTACTCAAAGAATCCTGCTTCCTTTTCGCTGCGTTATCCAAAACAAGTTTTATTAACTCTCGAACATAAAAATCAATTAAAAGTTCTTTACGCCCATATCTCTCAGTAAGGCTTTCTATAGCCAAAGGATAATTTTCGTTCGTCACCGGAAAAGATTCTACAATATCTCTCTCTCTAGCTTCTGATTTAATTTTTGTTGACTGTATCAAATAATGGAATTTGTCTGCATTCGTTAAGTTATTATTTTCATGTATGTTTTTAAACTGATTCCAAAACGTAAGCCAATTTTTTAAATCACCTGCGAACTTATAAAGTTCTACTTTCGGGTAGGCGTTGGCACAAAGTTTTACATGTATTTTCATCAGTAACTAATTTCTGACTACTCTCTGACGATGTATTTTGGATTTCGTTTAATTTACTCTTAATATTATCGAGAAATCGTTCCGATTTTAACTGTATCCTAACAGCCTTCTCTCGATAGTCCTCTGTTATTTCAAATTCTGTTTCGAATTCTTTATCATCAGTTATAGTATCTAAATAAGCACTGTGCGTCAATTCTAATGTTTCTGCCTTTTTCTTGAACAAATAAAAAGCACATTTCTGCTTCTTCTTCATAATCAACATTATCATCATTTAAAAGTTCATCTAGTCTTTTATATGCTTTAGTAAAAGCTGAACGTTGCGCAGTTTTGTTTCTTTTCATCACTTCCATTTTGTCTTAAGTTTAAAATATTCAGATAAAAATTAGGCAAGAAAAGTATTTTAAACTTCAGTAAAACAATAATCAATAACTTCAAAACGGAAGTATAAGGTAATCAACTTACCCTATCTATTCTTTCATTCGACATGTTTCCAACAAACACGCCCACCCGGGGCGCCAGAAATGTCGTGAACATTGTGAGTTTAAGAGAAAATAATGAGCGGTTTGTTAAAATTTAGATCAGATGAAAGATCTTTTAATATATAGCATTTTAATACTATTTAGCACAGTGTAATAAGTTCATTTTACAGTACGCAACATCCTCAAAAATGATCGTTACAACGCAGTTCGATCATCCATCTTTTGAACACTAATCTCTCTCGTTGCCATTCCGTAACAGAGAAACTTACCTCTCATGGAGTTCGATAGTGGCGTGACACAGGGTGTTTCAGTTAGGACCTCTAACTCTGAAAATAAGTAACTTGGAAACAATGGTAGATAGAAGAATGAAATAAGTGTGATGCTTATTAAAAAACGTAAGAATATTATACAGAAACTTAAAAAAAAATAGTTATTAATTGTGCATATAAATGGCGCTGTTAGTGGCATTAACATAAGAATGCTGTGTATAGTGGCTAATGAAAACTCACATCAAAAGTGATTAGGACCATAAATATTTTTTCTCTATATAATCTCAGCCGTATTTAATTTTCACCCACTTTTTTACCTGGCTTTAAACATTTTTGTATCAATAGAAATTATTTTTCTCTCTATTTCTATTTGCCTTTCCTTCGCACCTAAACTTGAAGTTTAGCCCTGCGAGCAAAAAGACTTAACGAATGCAAAACGTAAAATCTGTGTACTTTTTCTAAAGATAATAAAAATTTTTCTCGCACGTGTGTTTTGCTTGCATCCTATTTAAAAGTATTTGAGTCTACACGCAACCTAAACTATTCAAAGTATTATTAATAATAATAAAAGACACATTTAATGGTTTATAGGTTTGTTTGGCTGTAACCGCGAAAGTTTAGGAGCAGACGACAGGGGGTTACGTTTAGTTATGTTGGTAGTTAAATTGCTTTTAAGTCATCATTAAATTTTTTTACCATGTTATTTACATATACAAAGTGTGTAAGAAGTTTTTACAAGTACTATAATGCTAATATTAATTTTATATGGGTACGCTTCAGATCGTCTAGTAAGTACTTTTTAATGTTAAGGTTTTAAGATATGTATGTTTGTCTTTTAGAATGAGAGGGTAAATAAAATTTAAGATATTTGTACAGTGGCTCACATTTGTTTTTGGACTCTTGGATTTTTGAAGCTTTTTTGCATAGATGTTGTATTAACTACTGAGACATAGGTTCCAAATTTTTTTCTGATACATGATTTTTTTCTCTGTTTTATGCATTACTTCTTGCAAAATAAATATCTTCAAAATATTCTTTGGAATAAAACTATTCATTCAAAAATATAGTAATTCACATAATGATTTGAACACTCCAAAGTTTTGCTGATGTATTTTGGAAGAGGATGTTTCTTGTCATGGTTTTTAATTTTAAATAAAAATACATCAAAAGAATGGATCTACTCTGATATGCGCCCTCAAGTCGCTAAATTTCTCGCCACCGCGCTGCCATATTGCTATCTAAATTTTTTGTCTACATTTCGAACTTTAAGCCTAAAATGTCTCCAAAACACGGTTTTCGCGAATGCAAAAACCACGTTTTCAACACACAATTTAAGCTAAGAAATCTGAAACAAAAACAAAAATTTAGATAGCAAAAACCGTAAAGTTTCTAACCAAAATTATTTGATAAGAGTCCATGTACACAGCAATATGTTTTAACTTAAAAAAACATCTATGAATGGCACAATCTAGGCAATGAACGAATCTACGAACTACGCACGCCTCACTTTATTAAATTAAAATAACAAAAATAAATTTCAAAGAATACCATGTACACCAGTATCCTGTTTAAACTTAAAAAAACATCTACAAATTGCACAATTTACGCAACAAACGAATCTACGAATTACGCACACTTCACTTTAATAAATTAACATAACAATAAATTTCAAAGAATACCATGTATACAGCGTTCTGTGTAAACTTTAAAAAACATCTACGAATTGCACAACTTAGACGGTACGCACTAATCAACAAAATAATTAAAATAAATTTCAAACAATTCAAAAAAAACAACAATAACGACAAAAATTCATACTAAAAAAAACAATGAACATAACATTCTACAAAGTAAGAACAAAAATAAAATAAAATGCACTTACCATGAATCAGTGCTTTTTCGAACAGCAGAAATACCAATTTCATACCGCCTTTAACATGCCGCCATGTAATCACTATCGTATTTATATGACAGCCAGACACACTATCCAGAAAATTCATACTATGGTTCACAAATAAATAAAATAACAAATAATCACAAATCCCTACTTCTATCATGCACAGCCACTAAAAATAATCTCCCAAACCCTCTTTAAAAAAAAGTTTAAAAAAAAGAATAAGAAAATATGGTGTTTCTTTGAAAGTTCTACTAAAATTGATTCTCATAGAAGAATAGAACAATCAAAACATTGTTAATAAAAAAATTAATTGAATCCGCTCCAAAACCCATGAAAATTTTAATTTTAGCCAAAGGATGCATTGAAATATTGAATGCTGTATTATTTTTATGTTTTTGTTAAATATAAACTTATTTTATGTTCTTATTAAAGTGCGAGTTAATTTTCATAACTTTTTGAATATATTATTATTGCCAGAAATGTTTTGAATAACTTTTTTCAAAACAAGCAGGTTTTAAAAAAAGAGGATCAATAGTATATGCGAAAAAGAAATAAAGCTATTTTGCTAATATTTAGTAATTGATATTTGCAAATAAATCTGAAAACACAAATGTAAACCATTATATTTTTTAAACCACTTTTAACCTCCCTTAACTGAGTATTTTTTTGTATAATCTGACATCAAAATTGAAAGAGATGATGCTCTGCCGGCAAAATAAGAATACGGAGACAAGTCTATTTAACAATGAGTAAATGGCTATCATGCTAAATTGGGGATGGTTTTGGCAATTAATTTTTGTTGCCAAATTTGGTGAGAAATCATTAAAAGTCACCTGGCGATATTTTTGTCGAGTCCCTGTATAACTATAATGGGTATGCTAATATAATAACTGTAATTAATCTAGGTTGATCTTTGGATTATGGTAACTTGGCGATTTTTTGGCGAATATTTGGCGACCAACTCTGCTACAGCAACCCTCTTTTTTTTTTTTTTTTTTTTTTTTCCCCGCCACCATTTTGTCTTCACAAAGTAAAGACATGTTTCTTTTCTTTTTATTTACTTTTTATTTCTAACAATCTACTAGCCAAATTACACTTATACTAGAAATTTTCGTACAACTCTAATATACGCCCTAATTTCACCAAATGTGGCGATATGTGTTCTGCACTGGTTTTTGGCACTATTACATGTTCTATGGCAACCCTGTTGACGTTGAAATATCTTTCACTGGAGCTCGTTGGTTCGCCTCTGTGTCTGAGAAGATGGGAGGGAAAGATAAAATGGTAGTTGTTGAAGTTCAGCAAAAGGAAATATGATTGTGGCTATCCTGTTGAGGGGTAGTGGGTATTTAGAAGTGTGGAAAGAGGGTCTGGGAGATTATTTTTAATGGCAGTGCATGATAGAAGTAGGGATTTGTGATTTTATTTATTTGTGAACCATAGTATAAATTTTCTGGATAGTGTGTCTGGCTGTCATGTAAATACGATAGTGATTACATGGCGGTATGAAATTTATATTTCTGCTATTCGAAAACGCAATAATTCATGGTAAGTGCATTTTATTTTATCCTTGTTTTTATTTTGTAGAATGTTATGTTCATTGGTTCTTTAGTATGAATTTCTGTCGTTATTGTTGTTTTTTTAAATTGTTTGAAATTTATTTTAGTTTATTTAGTGTCTAGACTGTGCAATTCGTAGATGTTTTTTAAAGTTGAAACAGAACACTGTGTACATGGTATTATTTGAAATTTATTGTTGTTATGTTATTTTATTAAAGCGAGGAGTGCATAGATCGTAGATTCCTTCCTTGCCTAAATTGTGCAATTCGTAGAATTTTTTTAAAGTTTAAACAGGATGCTGTGTACATGGTATTCTTTTAAATTTATTGTTGTTATGTTAATTTATTAAAGCGAGGTCTGTGTAGTTTGTAGATTCGTTCATTGCCTACATTGTACAATTCGTAGATGCTTTTTTAAGTTAAAACATGGCGCTGTGTACATGGATTCTTGTCAAATATTTTTGATTAGAAACTTTACGTTTTTGCTATCTAAATTTTTTGTTTTTGTTTCGGATTTTTAGCTAAATTGTGTGTTCAAAACGTAGTTTTTGCATGTGCGAAAATCGCGTTTTTGGAGACATTTTAGGCTAAAAGTTCAAAATGTAGACAAAAAATTTAGATAGTAATATGGCAGCGTGAAGTTTCTCGCCAAAAATATTTGGCGACTTGAGGGCGCATATCAGAGTAGTTTCGAAATTTTATCTAACAAAACTGCTTAATCATGACAAATATTCACTGCAAAATTGGGAAAAAGTGCACAATCGCAAACTCCTTGCGCGTTTTTCACAATAACACATACACATAAACCATGTACACGTCGACTTATTTTTACTTAAAAAAACATCCCAGAATTGCACAAAAATGGCATTGTGCACACTCTTCACTATATCCATGTACACTGCTTTTTTCTCATAAATTTGAAAAATTTCACGAAAATGCATGAAAATTTTCTGAATCTTTAAACCCGATAAAAAGAACATATATGAAATTACCTTATCGCGAAAAAGTATGTACCCTTTCCAAATATGAACATTTCCACCTATAAAATAAATAAAATATCCAAAAACTTTTACCTCTAAATTATCTATTATATTATAAATGTCACCAACAAATTCATACCGCAAACATTACAAATACTTAGTGTCAAATATTTAAATTATTTCCATGCACGTTTACTTCAACTAAAACGTATACCAAATTCCTACGAACATAAAATTCACAAAATAACTATCATTTAATTAAAATATCACTAAACCATGTACACGTTGACTTATTTTTACTTAAAAAAACATCCCAGAATTGCACAAAAATGGCATTGCGCACACTCTTCACTATATCCATGTACACTGCTCTTTTCTCAGAAAAATTTCACGAAAATGCATGAAAATACTCAACGTATACTACTCAAACGTATTCCAAAATACTACAAACATATAACTCACAAAATCACGATCATTAAATTAAAATATAATTAAATTAAAAAACACTACTTAAAATATAAATAAGCACATACATTAAATTAATAAAAATTAGATTACAATCCTAATTACTTTAAACTAAATCAATAAATAGCAATTTTCAAATAATACCATTTTAATTTATTTACTCCTTACATTTAGAACAATGCATAAAAATAATATCCTCAAATGATTAAAAATACTAACTTACCTAATCTTCTTCAGAATCTTCATTACGTCACTGCAGTACTACTGCTAATTTATAAATCCTAAATCCAGTAGTCAACTGGAAGTCTATTCACCAAGTAATAAGAAATTAATAAAATTTCACCACTCAAACTACTTTCCACAAACCACGTACCCTTCCTTACACTCCTTTTCACAAAATGTCCATTTTCACCATATTTCTTGCACCGCCATTTAAACTTGTAATATCCTTCCTTCACACAATCTCAGCTTATTATTATTATTATCAGAAATTCCATGCAATCCGAAAATTAATCAACACTATTTCACACAACACACAATGAAGCTTTTCCAAATTAACCCCCTTTTCCGATTAAAGAACTGTAATTCGTCCATTAATGTCACGTTTCACACAACGCAGAATATAGCTAAATACGAAATTTCCAGATTTCCCCCCTTTTCCGATTAAACAACTAAATTCGTCCATTAATGTCACATGACATATCTCATGATCTCTCATTTCCCTCACACAAAATAATGCGTAATCGGAACTGAGTGCTTCTCACATTATTACCAAAGTCCTAGGTAGTAACCTTTATTGCCTCCAAAATGTCGCCAAACTACCAGTTACCATATTCCAAAAATCAGCTTTAATCTATATATGCAACTGTAACCGTATCTGGCTTCCATATGCCTCCAGTAATTTCAAGAAATACTAGAGATTTCTCAGCGACTAGCGGAAAACTATATAAGACTGAAAAGAGCATCAGTTTAGTTATAGTAGTTGTTAGTTCAGAGCTGATTCAGAGTATTGAGATTTCCATGAGAGCTTTGCCTTTTAGATGCGCTTTGCCTTGCATTCTGTTTAAGGTTCTGGTAAAGATATATTTACGGGTGCCTCTTGGCGATTGTTGGCGATACATGGAGACTGAGTTTGTGCAGTTCTTTGACTTGTTATTTTGGCTCTGTATAGTGGTGATTTTTGGTGTAAAATCATCAAAATAACAAATCAAAGAATTGTACAAACTCGGTATCCATGTACACATCGACCTATTTTCACTTACAAATCAAAGGAGAACCTAATTCTACACTACAGCCAAACAAGATATATATAATGTCAATAAATTGCATTTTAAATCAAACAATTAAATAACATAAAAAAAGTAGTAGGCACTACTATCACTTCTACACAGTACACAAAAGAAATATCTACTTACCTTATTTAGAAATTTCTGTGTCTTCAGTCTGGCACACAAAATTCTGTAACAGCATCCAAAAACTTTCCTCAAACCATGTTCCCTTTCTAATGGAATGCTTTATATGGTAACCATTTGAACCTTTCTTGTGTCAAAGCCATCTCAGCAATCCTTATGTTCGACAGTATGCATTTCCTTTGTACAAACAGGACACTTATAATGGCTAGTAAGTAAATCTTCATTTACACACCAGTCAATTAATGCTTTTTTCCCTTTTCTTCCAAATTGTAAAGAAACTTCAAATTAATCATACCACATTCATCCATTTTACTGTGTAAACCACAAAATAAGCAACATACTTCTTAACTAACATCCAACACACAAAGAAGCCCTTACAAATCTTTTCCCATCAGTTAAATTCACCGCAATCATGCAACCAATTAATCATAATAGGGTTTCCATAACATTCAACTACTCAGGCTACCATAAATGAAAGAATAACTTGGCGATAAATAAAGTAACAACTTGGCGGTAATCGAAAGCGCACCTTTAAATATAGGTTCTTAGTTGTTTGAAGTGTAACAACTGATTGCTTGTTGACGCTATGCAGAGCTGTATGATTATTTTTGTGGAAAGTTCGAGTACTGTGAAGTGATTCATTTGGTAAAATAAATTTTATTAAGCTATCATCAGTTCTGTGTGCATTCAATCTATTATGAGCCTGAATGTGTTGGAAGTAGAAGCATTTTTGCTCTTGATGTTTGTTCCTTAGAAATTTTTTTTTTAATTACGCTATAGCAGAAGCAGTTCTAGTGTAACACAGATGCAGATCAATATTTTGGACATTATTACAATATGTTGCTTTTAAATTTAAAAAATTATTTGCTCTGCAAAACCAAAAATTTTCCACTTTATTTAAATGGAAGATGAGTAAACACGTTTTATGTCATCTTTTCATTTTCGTTGGGCTAAGGAATTTAAAGTTTTATCCATATTATTGTATTAAAATTAGTATGACTGAAATTATATGCATAAATGCTTGTTATTTTCATTTTTCATACATGTATGTATTTTGGTTTTTAGGCAGTTCCTATCAGGCATATGATTTGCTTGTCATTGGTGGTGGCTCAGGTGGGCTAGCTTGTGCCAAGCAAGGTAAAAAGGGAAAAAAGTATATGCATTTCAGATTAGTAGGAAAGATGTCTTCTCTTGTAGTTTTAATTTAAACTTTATAATTTAATATAAGAATCATCTTTAAAATTCTTTTCCTTTTTCTTTTTGTAGCTGGCATTTTAGGAAAGAAAGTAGCTGTCTTAGATTATGTTGATCCTTCTGTTAGAGGTAATTTTTCTGCTTAAAATACTTGTTTAAATGATAATTAAAAGAGCATAAGGAAATAATTTAGTATAGATTTATTAATCGTTGTCTTTATTATTTCTCATTAATCCAAAGGGGAGGAGGGAAGAAAAATGTCTGGAAATTATCTTCAGTTTTTCTTAATTTTGCACAAGTATATATGTTAACTCACTAGGATTAATTATCTGTTAATAATTCAAAAGCATTTTTTGGAATAAAAATAAATTTATTTATAAAGTATTTTATTGCATACATTTTACCTTTCTTATACAAATAAGGAAATAATTTGCTTTAAGACTGAAATGTTTTGCATTTATTATTTAATAAAAAAAAATTAAAACCTATTTGCAGATTATATTTGTGAGGACTGTAGCATAAACAGAATTTGTGGCCCCACTTGAACATTGAAAAAATTTCAGTTTAAATATTTAAGTGCAAGGCACAGATTTTTATTAAGACTTTTGATGTTTAATTGGAGAGTTAGAACTTAAAATTATAAGCAAATATGCTATAAATAGAATAATTAATTGATAGGTATATTAAGTACAAACCTAATTAAATATTAATTATTAGTTAAGAAAAATCATACAGTTTAATCATTGGCTTCAAATTAAAAGGTTCAATGCATGTAAGATGACAAGCAATGCCCTGTCTTTGTCTCAGAATTGAGTTATTAACATAGAACAATTTGCATCTTCAGAAGAAGAGCAAATTCTAAATCTTTTATATGGTAATAAAACCAAATAAAAACTTATTTTTATCAATTACTGAGAGCAATTGCTTAATTTACTAAATCAAATATTTATGCACAAAGTTTTTTAAACAATATTTTCTTTGTTTCTGAAGTATAGCATATTAACCAATATTATTATCATAATCCAGTGATCTGATAATTCTATTTGCAATGTGCATTATAAATAGTTATTGAAATAGTTCTGTCCAATATTCAGAAGTACTGGGAGCTAGTGTTGAATATGGTATTAATACATTTGTTTCTCTCAAGAAAAATATCATTCTTTCTGTTTTCACTTATAAATACTTCAAGAATATTAAAAACATTTTTTCAAAAATTGTGAAAGGCCATTTATTAACACTTTATTCACATCAAATAAATAATTAACATATTTTACTCCTTGAAAAGAATAATTTCATAGTGGCTAATACTGTAATTTATCATTTATCATTACTCTTTTATTAGATGCATTAATTCCGAAAATTAATTAAATATCTTGGACTTTTCTTGCTGTATGTTCTAATTCATATGAATTATTTAAATATTTATTTTCATTATTAAAATACAGTGTGAATAATTATTTCTTAGAAACATTTGTGTTTATTTCATTTATTATTAAAGCATCATTAATTTTTTGATATTGCTACAATAATGCAGTGTTACAAAATTTTAAGTGTCATTAGATGCTGGTTTAACCTCTTTATTACTCAAACAACAATATTCATAAATTATTGCTTTTTTGTTTTTGTTTGCATTTAGGGACTACCTGGGGTCTTGGTGGAACATGTGTTAATGTTGGTTGTATTCCAAAGAAGCTTTTTCATCAGGGAGCCTTGTTAGGAAAATCACTTGAAAATGCAAGGAAGTATGGATGGAATTTTAATGAGAATGTCACCCATGATTGGAATACATTAAGAACTGCTATTACGGGTTACATAAAGTCTTTGAACTGGAATCACAGAGTTCAGTTGAAGCAGAAGTATATAGTTTTATTTCTTTTCCCAAAGCTATTAATTTTCAAGATTAAACAAGCTTTTTTAATATATTAAATAAAATTCTGTACTTCCAAATCTTTAATGTTGTGATATTTAAAAATTTTCATGCCATCAGCAAGATCGTTTAATCGCAAAGAATTTTATTTTAGGAATGTTGATTATTTTAATGCCAAAGGAACTTTTATTGATTCACATGAAGTAGAAATTTCGCACAAATCTGGAAAGGTTAGCAACTTTTTATATATAGTTAATAATAATGATTATAAGTATTATTTAAAAAATGGAGATAATGAAGAATTCATTATTTAAATTTTTTTGGATGTGCCTGGTTGCAATTTATTAAATTATATTATTTTAATGTGTTTCATAATTATCAGTGGAAAGATATTAATTTGTTTCATTGTTAATTTTTGTTAATTTGTTATTTTATAACTTAAAATCTTTCTAAATATGATTGATTTGTTTCTTACTTATTTCAGAAAGAAAAATTAATAGCGAAAAACTTTGTGATTGCTGTAGGAGGAAGACCTAAATATCCGGAAATACCTGGTGCTGTACAATATGGTATTAGTAGTGATGATATATTCAGCTTAGAAAAGCCTCCTGGTAAAACGTAAGAATTTAATCAGTCATCCTGAGTATTTGAGGTTAATATTGAATAAAACAGTTTGTAATTGATGACATGGAGCTAATTAATAACACTTGAATTAAATACAGATTATTGATTATTTTTTTTTTAGATTAGTTATTGGTGGAAGTTGTATCCTTTCATATGTATATATATTTAAATATACTTAAATATACATTTTAAATAACAGATTACAATACTTTCTGATTGACTTTAAAAGGACCATGATTAAGTTTACAGACTTTATCTGAACTTTTTATTATGATGATTATGTTAACTTGTTTGTGAATTTGTTATTGAGTATCTGAATTGTGTAATTTAGTATTATGTGTAAGTGTAAAATAGAACTTCTGTGCTTGTAATATTATTATGCATAGTTTTAATTGAAAATGTGTAAGAGAGATTTATATAATTATGACATTCATTAGATTAAGCTTAAAATGTATTAGATTAATGCAATAATTCTAAAATTTTTAATTTCATATTAGTATGTATGAGAATTTAAGTTATGGTGAAGCTAGTTTATCCTAAGGGAAATTTTAAGAGAATTTTAATGTAGAGATTGCACTATATGCAGATAATGTTTGATTATGTTTTCACCAGTTCAATGTGAAGGAAACTCTGGCCTGTATTGGCAGGAATACAAAACACTCATTTTTTAAATAAATGTTTCATTATTTTCTGTTGAATTAAAGTTTCTAAACTGAGGTCATGGCTCATCTATTCAATCATAGTTCAGATTATTAATAGGCTACAACCTTTTCTCTAAAGACCTGGAAATAATTCATCAGCATTGCCATGATGGAAGACAACACTTTGGCGGTCAGTTCTAGGCTGACTTCACTTCAACTTTTGCCTTTAAAGCTGCCATTTGGGAACAGTACTTTTCCCAATTAATTGTCTGAATTTGTGGCAGCAATTCTCAGTATGTAATTCCTTTGTAATCCCACCATACACAAACCATCACTTTTTTGGGATGTAGTCTCCCTTTCAGTGTTACTAAAGGAAGTTCTTTTGGCTTACTGTAGAATAGTTTTCTTGTAACATAATTGTATAATATACGCTTCTCATCTCTAGTAATGAGCCATTCCAAAAAAAGAGTGTCCTTATTTTTTTCAGCAAAGTATCACATGCCGAAACTTGAGCAAGCATGTTATGCTCTGTTAAAGTATAAGGTACCCACACATCATAGGAGCTTTAAATGATCATGTTCTGTGCTTTTTGGAACATTTAGTCTGTCTGATTGTTTCTGAACTGTATAACATGAGTTTTCAGCGATAGCTGCTTTATACAAGGCCTTGTTTAAAGAAGATGGTTATCCAGAACAGATATTATCATCGAGTCTGAAATTTTCCTGCTTGAAATTCTCACACTACATCCAAATTTTATTTTCAGTAGCAGCAGTTTTTTCATATGTAGCCCAGATTTCACAATTGGTTTGACTAGCATTTTTTCCCTTTTTAAAATGAAAGAGCATAATAAGATGAAAAGGATATTTTGAATTATCCATTCTTATCACCCCTGTGATAAACAAAATTATGTCATAACACATTATGCAACATGAGCAGAAAAGGCTGTATTTAAATATCCACTTCAATCAAGGTTACCCCTTAGCAGTGGTAACAAAATAATTGGAAGAAAACATGTTTTGATTTGAAAAACCAGAGAGCTTTCTGGATAAACCAGTTCTAACTGTACTTGTAATCTACATGTACACTGCTCAAAAAAAAAAAAAAAAAAAAAAGGGACAGTCCTATATCTCCCGATCTACTGGGCCGATCGACAAAATTCAAATTGCGTTCTTCATGTCTCGAAAGCGCGACTTAGGATATATATTAGTTTTATATATAGCACTATTCTAACATAGGTATTTTGACACAAAATCGGACTTTTTCTGAAATAACATACCAATGTTTTTACATATTTCGATTCTACGACTCAAATTACGCCTAAATATGAAATTTTGTAAAATTTGGAGCGAAATTTACGGAGAAATTCACAAATTTATATTGGCACTTTTTTGTCAGTTTGCGCCAAGAATAGTTCACTTGGCGAACTTCTTAATATATGGCAACCTAGTTTCCTTTCCTGTGAGCGGGAAAAAAGTCACCATCGTTCTTTTTTTCCAAATAATATTCTTTATATTATATTTTTAATTATAACTTATTATTTTAAGTAATTTTTTCTTTTTCGAATTTCATTTTAATTGTTTAAGTTGCATGGTTTTTTTTTTTTTTTTCGAATAACTATTTTAAAAATTTCTACTTACCTATTCGAACTGCGTAAATAAAGGTGCAGCATTTATTATTTTTCAAATAGTTTTTCTTTATATATATTTTTTGTCATAGTTATTATTTTAGGTAATTTTTTAAATTCTTAACTTTTATTTTAATTGTTTGTGTTGCATTGTCTCTTCAGATAATTGTTTTAAAATTTTCTATTTATTTCTTCGAATTGAGCATTTTAAATATATTTATTAATATAAATTTTCCAGAATTTGATTTTATTTATTTGAATTGCGTTTCTTTCGGAGGAATACTTTGTAACCCAGACTACGATGCGTTTGAAAACTGCATATATTAAAAGAGAAAATACAGTAAAGCATAGTTAACACGCCTTTCAATGTTCCGTTCAGAAAAGATGTATATAAATAAGAGAGATGTATAACCGACATTTTAACTTAGGATGACTTGCATACACTGCTTTAAACAGTTTTATCATTGTGCCCATTGCTTTACACAATTTTATCCTACATTTGGCTTCTTAAATGTTATTCATATTTTAGTCAAATATTTTATTTTTGAAATCGTAAAAATCAAATATCATAAGATTAAAAAGTTTTAAATTAAAAAAAAAAAAATACAAATACTAAATTTTACCGTAAAATGTATTTTTTCTTCTCTTTTTCTTCAGGCATTCTACTTTATTCTTGCTCTTTTTCTTCATTCTACTTTATTCTTGCTCTTTTTCTTCATTCTACTTTATTCTTGCTCTTTTTCTTTAGGCATTCCGCAAGTATATTAAAAAATATCCAACTTTTCGAAATATCTTAATATTTCTGACAATCATTTTAAATAAAGTTTATCGCCTTCCATTTCATAAAGGCCCACAAACGGCCGAGCGGTAAAGTCGCTGAAACACTGATCAACTGGTAGTTCACTTCGGGGTTCGAATCCCGGTAAATGGGCTGGTTGCATGGGCGTTTTCGTGGATTTTCTCATGTGTACCGTGTATGCCAGCTGATTTCCCTTAGAAAGTTCTTCACAAAGGCATCCTTCCTTTTAGGCAGATAGCCCTGCTTTGACGTAACTTAATAATTCAATTCAATCCATTTCATCAATACTTGGTCAGAGCTTTTATCAGTCTTTAGAGGCTAAACATTTTGAAGGTATGAGATGAAAGAAAAGACTGGTTTCATCAAGAGGTTTTGGTTTATTTAATTATGACAAAGCACACTAGGGCTATCTGCCTAAGGGGAGGGATGCCTTCGTGGAGGACTTTCTAAGCGGAACTGGCTGGCATACACGTTGCACATGGGAAAAACCACGAAAATGCCCAAGCAGCAAACCCGTTCGCGGGATTCGGACCTCGGACAGAACTACCAGCGTTCAGTGACTTTATCGCTCGGCCGCTGTTTCATCAGGAGGAAAAAAAAAACATCTTTAGGTGACATCCACATACATCACTGGATAAACTCCTGAATCTTCAAATAATTCGAATGAGAAAATCATGGGATTCTCCATTTATGATACGATATGATGTTCTATAACGTAATTTAAATTTATACAACCATATAGTCTAAACCATATTGTCTTTTCTGTTAACCACAAGCTCAATTAATGGTATTTGCTGGTGTACACGTCCAAGTGTTTTTTCTTTGAACACCTAAATTCATTGAAGTATCCTGAAAGTATCTTCAAAAGCGTCCAACTTTTTTAAACATCTTGGTATGTCTGAGAGCCAAATTTCCCTGCAAATTTTTGCTTACTTTTCTCCCTAATTTTCTTCTTTCCTTCTACAGTTATTTTCAGTGCACACACAAGAAAATTAAGATTTTTCGATTGCTAGACTTCCATAAATTTTGCTTTCTTGTCAATTTTTTTTTTTTTAAAATATCAATTACATGAATTGCGTTTCAGCTGAACAAGCTTTTCATTTTCTAGTCATTTTAACTATAAATAAAAAAAAGCGAAGTCCAAAGGATAAATATTTTAATTAAAAGATTTTTGCTAAATGACAAAGAAATAAAACAGTCCAGCAGGGTTAATTCTGTACCACTGAGTAACCCGGATTCTTATATCGGCTGAAACAATCTAAATCGTATTAAAGATCATGTTTTTTTATACAATCTATAATGCGAGAGAAAAATTAGCTTCTTAAAACATTCTTTCTAAGAGGATTAATATAAAAGATTATATTTTATATATATTTTTAAAGCTGGGACTTGACCAAACTTTAAATTTTTAATTTACGTTTTACATGGTGGTTAATTAAAGTTCCATTTGAAATGGTCATAAAAGGAAAACTACCGTACCAAATGTTATCAAACTTGGGAATCGTGTAAAGGAGGTTATGAGAATTTATTTTCAGCGAGGAAAAAAAAGTTAAAAAAACTCATCACCAGGGGGAAAGTGACGCTGTATACAAGATTCTTAAATGAAATAAGACATGAAAACATCTGTTTAAAATGTGTTTAATATTTTCCGAAACGTGTTACAAAGCATGTTCAATATAGCGTCTAGCATTTTCCGAAAGCAAGTTAAATCCTGTTACTGCATTCTCAACAGCAGCTCTTAGCATATCGGGGGGAATGTTACGGACATGTCAGTGTTTAACATTTTTCATTTCTGCCAAATTGTTTAGATTATCACCATATACAGTGCTTTTGAGAAAACCCCATAGCTAAAAGTCACAGAGGTTGAGGTCTGGTGGGAAGAGGGGAAGTGTTTGGCGTATAAGACGTTCATTCGTGAAATGTTGCCTAAGTAACTGTGCGACACATGTGAGGTGGGGCCCAGCCGTGCATAAAAATCGTAGTATCTAAAATGCCACGTTACTGCAGTTTATGTATCACGAAACATTTTAACATTGACTCTAAATGAGCTGCAATCACAGTAGTCCAGCTGTCGACT